TTTATATATTTTTATGCACACACACACAGAGACACATCACATGCACACACACATACGTAGAAATATGTCTCTATATAGATATATTTATTATGTTGTTGTGTAAGCAAATATATATTTGCGTAAAGCCTAAGCACATTCCTTGAGTATGCGATTATACTTCGAGGTGATAAAGGCCTTTTCGGTTCACTGTTTCTGATCGTTAGTACTCGTTTATTTCAAAGGAATGCAGTTTTGTAAGATATGTTGGTCCATCCTATATATCCATATTCACTTGGAATGACGATCGATGTATACACCGGAGTATAGACCACTTAGTCACTTTTGCGCAATTGTTCCAGTCAACATACCATTGAGACTGCCGCCCTCGAAAATGACTTGGAAGCTTTTCGAGAAAATTGGCGACATGACATACTGGAACATCGCGAGCATGGCCACGACAGTAAGAATAGCAAAGGCAAAGCAAAAAGGGAGGCACATCCGGATGCAGGGCATCTCGAAGGTATGTCATCATACTAAGTTTAGCGAAGCTGCAGCAAAGCACAAGTATCGACACAGAAAGATATTTGCAAGACCGGTCGAACAACGTTTGTTGCATGTGTTTTGCAAAATGAAGACGATAGCATATAGTGGATGATGCGTGGAAGCTCGACTGCCCTCACTTTGTTTATTCGCGACCTTTTACTACGTTGAGTTTATAACGCCCGTGGCCAATAACAGCATTTATGGATAGTGTTCGGCTGTTTGCAGCCAAGGCAGAAGGGTATGCCTCGCCTGGTATTATCAGTGGTTCATTGTTCTTTTGTTTCGCCAACGATTCTAAACAATTCACAGAGTCTTGTCATGCGAGTGTCACTGGAGACTTAGAGCCTGAGAGACATGAAGAAGTAAATTGGATGAGCGCGTCAGATCGTCTGAGAGGTGTGCTATTGCATCTCTTCCACAGTGCAGTTTGTAGCAGATTTTCATCTGTTCTATCGAATAGCTAGCATAACTGCGTTGTGTTAATTCTGACAAAACACTGTCGTGTTGATCGCATCAAATTCTTACATCCGAATCTTGTTCATCTATATTTACGGCTGAATTAAAGACAGTTGCTCGTGTGTGTCTCATCCAGGTCGCTTCTCGCATTTGAGTAAAGTATGGTACTCTCCTTCATCAAGCCGGAGTAGCTGGAACTTTTGAACGGAATACATGCTAGTCTTATCAGAAGTGATAGACGTAGAATTATCCTCATATTCTGCTATTGACACACACAGCACCTAGGCCCCGTACATCATCGGGCCAAGCAGAACTTGCACTTCAGCTGTACGTAGATGCTATAGAGAACGAACGGATAGGGAAGCTAAATGACGCATTCCTGCTCTATCGGCGTGCATTCGATTTGAATTCAGATGTTGATAGGCTGTATTGGGCCGCCGCGAAAGGTACACTCGAGTTCTTACTGTAAATACCCCTATTTGATGGGAGTCACCCCGTGCTCATAAATATTAATCCATTTATTGTGATATACTTGGTTGTTGATTTGAGGACGATTTGCCAATATATGAGCGCATAAATAGATAGGGCTTGTGAATGAATAATTCTAAGCCAATCTTGACATTATGTGGTTGATCTTCCATATCGTGCCTCAAAATTTACATCGGTGCACATTGTCAGGAGTACGTTAATTTCGAACGTCCACTGTTTTCTGATACTCCACAATGGTATTTCACAGCTTGAATATGTACTTTCCATCTACATGGAACCATTAGTCAAGCTCAGCGGTTTCACCCAGTATACTGTTTAATTGTAGGTAAGGGTACGCTAGAGCTACCTGACCCGAACACATCAGAGGCACATGAAAGCGCACAGCGTCAAGGCGTGGATCTGGGAGCAGTCGCTGCGCTTGGTTGGGATGGCCATGACGAACAACATGAAAATAGTATGTATAAACAGTCTAAAACCCCATTCCGGGAATATATCTGTCGATAGGGTGGAAGGTATACATGCTTCGTTGCAAGCTGCCTGAGTCTACCTCAGTACAGAAGTCGTTAGTTTTGTACACCTGACGTAGGATGAAGGGGCTGATGGACCACTTTAGAGGCTTACCCTGCTTCACGTAATAACATTAGTGAAAAGAGGCTAGCGATCTGCAAGAAAGCCTCTAGTCTCATATTATATCTGATTTTCTCTTCTTTGTGTCGATCATCTAGGTACACAAGCGCGGGCGCGCAAAGAGTCACAGGCTCATTCACTGACCCAAACCCGCGGCCATGTAAACAGCCACGATTCTGTCGATGAAGGCGAATCCACTGTCACTAGTATCACATTGGCTACCGAAGATCTCGCACTGAGCGACAAACAGCGCCGGGAGGTGGACGGTATGTACTCGTCGGATCTATTTTATGTTAGTGTGCATAATAACACTGTACACAGCATACCCCGATATGCGACATATACACGTGTATTTGTGGTCAAATTCGAAGTGGATGCTTTTTGCGGCTAATAATGAAGATCAAGGTGGACGGTATGTACTCGTCGGATCTATTTTATGTTGAGTGCATAAAAACACTGTACACAGCATACCCCGATATGCGACATATACACGTGTATTTGTGGTCATTCGAAGTGGATGCTTTTTGCGTCTAATAATGAAAATCAAGATTCAGTTGTTCAGGGCAGCTTACGTTGATCAGATTATTTTAGTCTAGCCTGTGCCATCTGCTTTTGGACCTTAAAGATTTGAAGGAACCGGCACGGGAAGATTTTTTTTCGCTAGTGTTTATGACAATGCGGTTATTTTAACAGGAGACATTGTTTGTATTTGAGGGACATGGCAATCATTTAACATGTTTCACTCGTCCTTTGCGGTTCATGGTAAAATGTTCGAGATTCATTACGGACAGATTTAATATGCTGGAAGTCGTCTGTCATTCGTGGGTGAGCTATAACGACAAACTTTTAAGGGAGCATGAAAATTCTAGCAAACCGTTAAACGGTTCCGATACCGAGTGCCTTTTGAGCGGCTATTCCGCATGTCAACGCTTATTGTGCTGATATCGGATTTCTATACGTCACACCTATCTAGGCGGCGTAGTTACTCAGGGCCAGCCATCATCTTCGCAGACAATACAAGCGGACCAAAAGGATACTACTGTAAAAGCCGCCCGGCTTGCTAACGGCGAAACCACAGGGGAGATAGTAGAAGCTTCGGGTAAGCCGCTATCTTGTGTTTGACCTTTGTTGCTTCCCATTGGTCCTGTCGTTGAGTGCATACAAAATTGTTCATAACGAAGTGGATTGCTGATTGTTGATCTCGTTTGGTAGTGTCGCGCCAATTGTATGTAGGATCGAGGGTTTCTGATCTTTGAGTCCATATGACACAGCTTCGGCATAAGCATTGTAAATTTCTATTGTTCTTAATTTGTCAACCGCCTCTGGCTTACTGCATACCGCCGGCCAATTGATATATCTGCATTCGCTTAAGATTTACAAAATACCTTGCACAGCGCAAACCCAAGTGGCTGCGGTCATACCTACTTTTTACACCTTTCTCACGATTCTTGCGTGTATGTCTGTACCGTCACCATCAGCTGATGAGAGTACGAGTACGAGTATGCCCTTATTCAGTCGTATCCAAGCACGCCATCCGGAAATACGGCCTTCGTGGGCATCACTTCCTGACGATCACTTCGAGCCTTCAGACGATGGACTTGATTCGCCCACTCAGAATACGACCAATGATCTTGAACGTACGCTTGAGCACGAGCGCAGAAGTGATGTGCCCATAAAAGGTGACACAGAAATCAACGCACACGTGCAGGATGATGATAAAAAGCAAGGGAAGGGCTCTGGAGATAGCGTGGCCAGTGTCAGTGGTATTAATGGCGCTAAGGAGGAAACTACGCTAGTAGTGCGTGAGACGAGGACAAGAATCACTTACACAACGCATGATATGGATCAGATACATTTCTCGGCGCTACCATCAGAGGTATGTTGTGTATGTCAGTCTACGATATACGACCTGTACATTGTAGATGTCCACAATTTGAGTAGAAGCCAATGTATACGCCGGCACTTGTGTGTGATATGATACATTTCTGCGTCATCTTAGGTATATATAGAGCGAAATGTTTCGAGATGCTGATAAATCTTGTGCGGTCTATGTAAATATTCAACCTTGAATAGTCGCGTACATTGGTAGCGTCGACTATCGGGCATCATTCCGCACTTCCACAATACGTAGTCGTGAGTAAACTCGAAATTTCAGCCTTCGTTAGTGGTGTGCGATGCGAGTTCAGGATCTGGGTGGCAATACGAGATTTTTTTTTTTTTGGCAAAATGCTTTCGTAGACGTCATCCAAAGCATCTACGCAATTCACTAGCGACCTGTTAGATGCAATGCGTAGATCTGAGTCGTATTCATGTTAACTATGTTGCACCGGATTCGAGCCACAGTCTACGTAGGTGAGGGATGATTTTTCTCTGTCAAGTTTCGAGAGAAGTTTTGTGTGTAACCAAGTACTACTTATCGAATTGGTGTTTGGCACGTCCATATATTTTTAACACTTGATTCGTCGGTGTTTCAAACCCGGGGGTTTCAAGGCATGGAGGAGGGGAGACGTTCAGTGCCTCACTGTATCATGATCTGTTCTAACGTATATTACAGTGCATCACTGCATCATGATCTATTCTAACGTATATTACAGTGCCTCACTGTATCATGATCTATTCTAACGTATATTACAGTGCCTATTTGTATCATGATCTATTCTAACGTATATTACAGTGCCTCACTGTATCATGATCTATTCCAACGTATATTACAGTGCCTCACTGTATCATGATCTATTCTAACGTATATTGCTACACGTGTTTGTAAATGATGGCCTTGCTGCCATGGATAATCCTGATTGGAAGTAACTTCCTCCCCCTCCTTACTCTAAACTGTTTGTGCGATGCATCCAGATCATTGCTAAGATTGTGGGTCACATAGCCATACCAGATCTGGATATGGCAAGTATCGAACAACTAGGAAGCACGTGCCGTTACATGTATCTCAAAGCTCGAGACCCTGCTCTTTGGATGAAAGTGTGCGAGAGGGTGTGGAACGAATTTCCCCGCCCACCTGAAACGGTATGAAACATGCTTGGTTTACTTTGTCGCTGTTACAATATTAAAACGAGTCGTAGGGACTTCTATATTTCGAGAGTTTTGTATTGCAAATGCTTAGGACAAAGAGTCCATCGATTTGCGTTATATGTTCGTATCTTCTATTGCCCGCTGAAATAAGGTCGTGACGTGATTGTGTATTCTTTCCATTTTGCAGAAAGGTATTGAAGCAGCTGAATTCTGGCGACAGATGTACATCAACCGACCTCGCCCTAGGCTGGATGGAGTATATGTCAGGTACGACAGGAAGTGCCGATGCCCAAATGTGGTTGCGCAGCTGTATGGCCCACTCAAATTCAATGCCATTCTTCTCGTTTGAATAGATTACGGATACACCTTGCAGTCGTGAAACTAGAGGCACACGATCTCCCAATTTTCATACAATTTCGACGGTATATGTATATACACACACACACGTATATGTATATCCACCAGCGAGTGGGAACTAACGACTCTCACTGACGACTTCCTTTACAGTAAAGAGTCCTATATACGGGCGGGTGAGCGTGATATGTCCAATTTCTACGCACCAGTTCACATCATTGAGCACTATCGGTATATCCGGTTTTCGTCGGACGGCAAGGTGCTGACGGCCACTACGCCTACGGATCCCATGCACTTCATCCATAAACTGGGTGGTGGTAGGTAAGTACCTTTGCCAACGCGTTACCTTTATATCTCTGAATGGGAGTGTTTACGAATTCGAAGTATAGTGAGGTGTCTGTTGCCTCAATATTGTAGCATTGCGTGACTATCTGTGCTCAAAATGCTCTTCGATCGTCACTGTGTGGATTCTGAACTTCTCACGTACGTCCTTACAGGCAATGGGCAAACAATGATGAGAACGGCGTGGTTGTGGGTACCTACGTGCTTAACAATGACGGAACCATCAGGTGCCAGGTTGTCAGAGAAACTGAGGATAGCAAGAAAGCTGTGGGCAGAAGTAAACGCTCCCGGCGCAAGAGAGACCAGCTCCCGGATGTCAATACCGAGTACGGGCGACAGCATCTGGATATGCTGTTCAGCTTGGCTAACGCTAATATGTACGTGTCAGAGCGATTGTGTATTTCAATTGAGAGAAATGTTTTTACTTTTCCATGTACAGTTGTAACATACGATGTGTATCGTTGTATTCTATGATATATTTGCGTTCACGCATGAGGTGCGTCTTGTTTTTCGTACGAATTGTTTTATACAGACTGTTGACTGTCGATCGCTAGACTAGTAACGGTCACAGTCAACAGTTTGCTCAGATCTAATTTTGCTCGTAATTTGTACTTGTCTGTATAAAAATCTAGTATAAATATAAACACACTTCTACCTTCGATTCTTACTCGAACAGGCGGCTAAATAGCAGATTGAAGTGGGTTGACTATACTATCTGGATGGAGACAGCGGGCAACCCCATTGCCAGTTCGTTCGACATCAGTCAGCTAAAAAACTTTCATTTTGTGCGAGTGAAAAAGTTTGGTTCGCGAACGAAGTAGTATTGAAGGTGGCAAAGATTTCTAAGTGTGGAAGACTTTGGCATTGCCAATTGCCGATTGAGATGTAGTTCAGGGGTACTGCTCTTTTGCTGTAAACGCGTATGCGTTAGCTTGCGGATTATAGCTATTCAAGATTTGAAGAGATGCCGTCATGAATAAAATATTTATTACATATGGCCGTTATACATTTTGCAAAGTGTATGTTGGAATATTCTTGACGTGAGAAGTCTAACTCGGTAACACAGCATAGGTCACAGTATGTTGGCAGTTGTATGAGTACTGAATATAGCAATGTCATTGTCAGATTGCACGGACCACACTTCATATCCAAATAAATTAAATTTGTGTACACTTAATTTTAATATCACTGTAAATTCTTGCATTTTATTGCAAATTCATCGTCGGTATAGGGGGGACATACAGTCCAGGCTGGTAATGTAGAGCAGATCAAATGGTAGCGTGACATTGCGCGTCTGTACTACTTTGGAGGGCATTTTTTTTGCGTAAACTTATTATTTTGTATCTTCAAGCCTTTTTTTAGCACCCAGTTTTCAGAAAGTAATCCTATTTCCGTCTACGCCTATTACGAGTTTTTTATTGGCAACACAGGAACTTGTAATTTTGTGCAGGCAACGATATCGCTATAATAACACGACCAGGATTGCGCCACTTTATATTGGAAATAATGATCCGAAGACAACGAAGTATTATGTGGTATTAAATAAATATATATATATATATATATATATATATATATAAAATACAGCACCAAAGCGAAGAATAATTCGCATTTTAATATGAAATATACTTAGCAGCAGAGGCTACATGATCATTGACACCGTTAGTGTATTCTTTCTTTGCGGCAGTTTCACATTACTCACCGCATGTGAGAAACTTACCATAATGCAGACTTCCAAGTTTATAGTTAAAAAATCAAAGACCGCGGGATCTATTACTATATCTAATATACTTGTGTTATTTCCCAGACAGGTCGCGGGAGGCAAGCAAACCAAGTAGAGCATATAAAACAGAGTGAATGACATCCTCAACGTGCGCACGTTTAATTTCAAAGCAAATTCCATCAATCATGAGCGCGGCAGAAAAAATAGTCTTGGTCTTGTCAGCCAACTTGGTGTTGCAAGTAACGGCTTCAACATCAGTAGTCTCAGCTGCGTATACGAGCACTTTAACATTGGTAGCGCCAAGTCAGACTTTATTTTCGCGGAATAGTCGAACGTTCGGTCATATTTACTCGGCCAGGGTATATTTGATGAGCTGTGTAAATTTGGTGTTTAAACATCCGTTGGCAACCGAAGTCTTTTATATGTAGTTATGATAGGATCGGCGCGTATGACGGCATCGATTACTGAATGATTCTCTGATATTTACTGGTTTTGAATGATGTAAGTATTTTTTTTAGGTGATTGAAGATAAACAATAACTTTAATTGTGGATTCGGGAATTGATGCCCCCAACACTCGCATCTACACATGATTGGCCACTCAATACCCTAATTGGCCTCCTTCCACAGCTTTCTTGGTGGACCAAATCAGTGCTTTTTCTGGCACCATCTCACAGAATACCAGTGGCAAGTGTATCAAAATTGGAATGTGTTTCTGGTGAGTTTTCATCATCCACTCCTCGTGTCTTCATCGTCAGGAGTTCTTTTTTGGCTCCCTATCTCTTCTCTGTCTCCTGTAACACCAGTGGAACATTACATACATAGTCAGTTAGTCACTAGATTTTGAGTGACATTCTCCATTTCAAAGTTCAGAGTTTAGAGTCCAGACTCTAGTGGCCCTTGAAGTTATTCATTAGTATTGTGAGAATTCACGGCCCTTTGGATAGTGTTGCGGTCAAAGGCGATTCGGGGCAAATGATCATTTCCCCTATCAGAGAGAATTGCTTTTATTTCTCAAACTTGCTGTTCGACTGACAATTTCCAGAGGTCCGTGGAGAATTTGTGAGTTTTCGACTATATATTATTGGTGTGGTACTATCAGAAATGCCTTGAAAAAAAAGTATCGGTCACATATGTGTTCCATCATGAGCCATGGCTCCTGTAGGTATCGTTGTATCTCAATCTTGAGTAGTGAAGATAGAGATGTATAGAGTATTTATATAATTAGTCCAATCTTTGGTCAGAGTACATAATTCAGGTCTATGCGGGAAGGGACCAGATAGAAAGCCAGGCTAACGATGTATCAGAATCGCTATACGCATTAGTGCTCCTACATAGTATACAACTGCAGGGGCTTGGATGTATGTATGATAAACTGATCGTACGGATACAGCTAGTGCGTGTTTTATATTTATATACATACCATCCACTAGTTTCTACGTCATAAATTAGAGAACACCCGTCCAATTAGAAAACTCCCGTCCGGGTCTCCCGGAGTCCAAATCTCCAAGACTCCAAGGATAGGACCTGAGGACAATATTGAATTTTTGCAAATAAATAGTGACTATTGGTTTGTTTCTCTTTAAAAAAAAACAAGGGGTCATGAATAAATTCCATAGATGCCTCTGAAATTCCGCAGATATTAAATATAATTGATTAATGATGAGTCATCACTTCAAGGAGTGATATCAATATGACTTTTCACTTGACATATTTATTTATATATCATTCGAGAGTCATGTCTCATCATCTCATGAGTCATGACTCATCACTAATATTATTAATTATAGGATACATACTGGATAACTGTTGTATTTATTCTTGTATTTACATTTACATACAGTGAATACTGAATTTGCCAATTTGGGATCAAAAATGCATAAATAGCTCTACGCTGGGTGAAGTTGTAATTAAAAATACAATATTTATACATATTTATACATTACAAAGCGTCAAGTAGGATTGTATATAGAATCTGCGCCCAGTTGCATATAAACGGTAAGTGTATACATCAGAAACGTTAAAGCAGACTAAAAATATGGGGATATTCAGCAACAAAAGTAAACTCAAAGATGGCACCGGAGCTTTCAACGTGGATTCTTCGAATGAAAGCTTGGAGGACATGTTCGACGGTGCGGGTGATTCTGAGACCAGTATGAAAGATCTAGAAAGAATCGGGTAAGGTCAAAACTCAAGAAAACTCGTGGTTTCAGTAGGTTTGCTTAATGGGAAAAGTTGGACGATTTGAAACCTTTGCTTTGTAACAGGCAATCCTATGCTATAATAGGATAATTAATGAGAATATAGATACACATCTGATCGTGAACAACACAATACGTCTCGATAACCACGAATATATTTCACACAAGTCTTTATGTAATTCGAGAGCTAAGTTTTTGGTATAGCAAACAAGATGCATACAGACATACACATGAACACACAAACACACAAACACACACACACACTATCTCTCTATCACACACACACACACACACACACACACACACACACACACACACACACACACACGCACACGCACACGTACAAACACACACGCACACAC